TGGCGGCTCCCCGCTTATGCAAATGAAGCCCGGGAAATTCAAATCCCGGGCTTCATTTGCAAGTGCGGTATGCCTACATTACCCTCCTATTTTGAAATAGGAGGGTAGTGTAGACATACCCTCAGAGTCTGAGACCTCCCCAGCTGCTAAGAGAAGAGCTAGTCATTGGAACCCTGCCGCTGTCACTCCACACCATCTCACACTTAGGGTAACTATATTTTGGTGTGTTCTCAACTTTTGCTATAGTTTGCGGTAGGCTTTTTACTCAATGAAAACAAACATTTTTAAGTGGAAGCACTCTTGTGTATTAATCATTTACCAGACGGAGGTGCTGTCCCCCCTGCTTATTTATTTCTGCACATTGCCTGAAAAATAGAGATTAGATATCATAGTTTTGGGGTAAGGCAACCCCGGTAACATAATTAGCACACATAAAAAAAAACAGCTAAGAATGTTGTGCTTTCTCCTGTGAGCAGAATGGTATTGGAAGGTCTGGTATTAGATCTAAATAATCCCCAGTTTACGTAATTCATGTCATGTTAACATGAATTATCAGTGAATAATCTTATGGAAAATGTGAATGAAGTTGTTCATGGCCACATTATGCTCCATTATGCTAATAGAAATCTGAGTAAACATCACTGACTTTACTAAAGGTCCTCGGAGCAGATTTTGGTCCACAATTTTCCATATAGCAAAGATTGCTCATTTGCATGATTACATTGTCACAAGGTTTAGTTTTCAGAAGATGAGCAAGTATTATAGAGTTTAGTCTAAAATAACCCTTGGAAAAAATGTAAGGGGGTGGGGGAGTTTCACATCAGGAGAAAAGGGATGCCTAATTGAATTGAATTGAATTAAAAAGCACTACAGTATTACTCCACAGCAATGCTCCACTAAAGTCACTACAAAGTCTTACACATTTACTGAATGTACAAATAAACACAACAGCCTCAATAAATCTTGCAGAACTTTGGCAGACAATGGTGTAAGTCTTTATGATTAGGGCCCTTCCAAATTCTCCGCCATGAATAAAGTGTCATGGAGCATAAAATGTGCTTGTATCCTATGCAGGGGAGTGTTTCTTAAATTGGGGGGTCCTGATCCAAAAAGGACTTGCAAGGGGTCACACGGTTAAGTTAGGAGAGGTTACAGTATTGCCATCCTTACTTCTGCACTGTTGCCTTCAGAGCTGGGTGGCTAGAGAGTGGCTGCTACTGACTGAAGGCCCAGCTCTACAGGCAGCAGCATAGATGTAAGGGTAGCAATACCATACCATGCCATCCTTACTTCCGCCTGCTGCTGACAATGGCTCTGCCTTCAGAGCTCATGGCCAATAGCTGCCACCCTCCAACACCCAGCTCTGAAGGCAGTGCTGCCAACAACAGCAGTGCAGAAACAGGGGCAGCAGTATTACAACCCTTCCTGCAATAATCTTGCAACCCTCCCACAACTCCATTTTGCTCAGGACTCCTAGGATACGTCTACACTATGGCGCTACTTCAGGATACTTCCAGTATCCTGAAATAGTTATTCCATGTCTTGACAGAGTGCTGTTGTTTCAAAATATCTTTCAAAATAGTGGACGCGCTATTCCGATATCCCTGTAAACGTCGTTCCATGAGGATTAAGGGATATTTTGGGATAGCAGTTTATTCCAAGTGGACTGTCAATTTGGTAGGGCCCTATTTATGACAGAAAACTTGATTTCCTAAAATGTGAGTAGGAAAGTAGAATTATGATTGTAAAGTATCATATATTAAGATGTGCTGTATTGAAACTGGGTGTACTGACTTTTTTAACATAAGCAAAAG